TATTTTTTTAAATATCAAATTAGTTTGGATTGCATTGTTATTCTTATTCTAATGTTTTGAATAGTGCTAATATATTGTTGAAATTCTTGATCAAAATGCGGTTTGGAGTCAGCCCATTTCTTTTTATGGATATTGCATTTCCCTAAAAATACAATTAACTGCAAAAAAAGTCAAAATCTGCATCCATACTATCATCCCTGAAGTACATACGAATGTCTTTGTCCTGAAGTTTAACCTTTTGTCCCGTCTTTTTCCTAATAAAACATTCTGTATTGCTATGCAGCTGTCCCTTTTACAAACACATTCTAGAGCTGTCCTCTTCAGCAACAGGCTCTGTGTTTTGTGTGACAGTCTGTACCATTAATAGCTATATGTCTCCACCTAGTGGCTGACTCACATCCACCAAAAACACAATGCTATCTCACTTTTTAGTTTATGCTGCTGCTAATCTTGACTTGATTTGTTCTCAGAGATGGGAAGTAACTAAGTACATTTACCCAAGTACTGTACTTAAGTACAATGTTGAGATACTTGTACTCTACTTGAGTATTTCCATGTTATGCTACTTTGTACTTCGCTACAATTCAGAGGTAAGTTCTGAACTTTTACTCCACTACTTTTATATAATACCTTGAGTTACTTTACAGATGTGGATGAATGATAATAATAATAATAATCCTTATATTTATTATAGCGCTTTATCAAAGACTCTCAAAGCGCTTTACAAATACACATTACACAGATCATACATGTAATGGTCATCTACTGTGGACAATACCCACAGGAGCAAATTCGGGTGAAGTGTCTTGCCCAAGGACACAACGGCCTGACGCAGTGGGGCGGGAGCGGGTTTTGAACTGGAGTTCCCCAACGCCCCCTTGATCTGAATCAACTCTTAAATCAGACTTAAGTTCCACCTGGAGTAAATCCACAAGCTACCCTGCAGTATACAAAGTCATTTAAACTAGCTGCACCTTTACCAGCTTTGAGAACACTTTCATGATCAATCATTATAAAACATATCATATATATTATTCTGAATTGGACCAATCTGCACAATGACTACTTTTAATTGTGGTACTTTATGTATATTTTCATGCTAATATTGTGTACTTTTACTTGAGTAACATTTTGAGTGCAGGACTTTTATATTTAACAGAGTATTCCTACACTCTGGTACTTCTACTTTTACTCAAGATCTGAGTACTTCTCCCATCTCTGTTTGTTCGTAAGAAGGGCTGTGTTTTTAACATTCAGATGTAAAACAAACCTTCTGTAGAGGAAACTTCTGTGTAGCTATGCAGTGGGAGTCACCGACTCAGGAAGGAGACACGGTAGGAGCAGTAGCTTTGATGTCAAACACTGGTGGTTTATTACGAGTTAACGGCCGGAGGATTCACATCACAAGTCCAAGAATCAGAGGTTCTGACTTCACGGTAGAGTTGCCACGTCAATTCTGAAGAACTCTACCCCAGACCCATGTATTTAGCTAGTTCAGGGAGCATCAACATGCTGCATAACAAGATAGAATGATAACACCTCTATCAGCTGACGCCAACAGGCAGGAACAGGGAGACAAAACACTGAGAGCACAGCAGCCAAGGTTACAGGTGCCTGTGCTCAGTCAGGACAGTTTGAACTGATACACTGGGTCAAAGTTATGGGCCTTGGAAAATATTCCACAACACCTTCCATAAGATTGTAATTTAGTAATTGATACGAAGACAAACTCCGATTTGGGTAATCAAATTTTAACAAGGGGCTTTCTTATCATTGCATTTGAACTTACTAATATGTGAGCATATGTGTATTTGATTGTATCACACAATAACAGATTGTTATTGGTATTTTATTTAAATGTTGTTTCGTCTTGATTTTCTTCTTGCTGCCTGATTGCGTTTTTTAAAAATGTTTTAAAAATGTATTCTAATTCTAAAATTCAAATTCAAAGGTTTTATTGTCATATGCATACGCTAGTGGCAAGGACATTCTTATGACCTGAGCTCCTCAAACGATGCAACATATATAATACAATACAAAAATAAAAGTAGTAAGGGGCTTTCTTCACAAAGTGTTAGTTTGCCTAATTGGGTAATTGCTGGTTTCCCTAGTCACTTGGTGGAACAGTTATTGTTATGATTCTGTTTGCATTTAGTGCACTTTTTACTTGATGGGTCTAACAGGTGCTTTGTGGTGACCACTTTACATTTTGATGTGTGGCAAATGGAACATAGATACTATATGACTGATTTGTGTTGTTACAGTGAAGAAATCAGCTGCATGTGTTGGGAGAAAAACTGTAGTACACAGAGAAAAAACCCAAAGACATATAACTGCACAGGAGAGGGAAGACTTTGAATCAAATCCTCTCGTTCCTGCTAGGGGGCTACAGTATCATTTACAATCTAAAAATGTTGAATGTTGTTTTGTGAACACTGTGGATACTGAAGTGGTTAGTCGGCATCAACGTGAATAGCTACTGGGAGTAAAAGTCCTCCATGGATGGCAGCTCCGTCCTGGTGATGTTCTCTGCAGTTTTCACCACCCTCTGTAAAGCCTTACGATTGAGGGCGGTGCAGATGCCGTACCAGGCCGTGATGCAGTCACTCAGGATACTCTCTATGGTGCACCTGTAGAAGTTGCAGAGTATCCTGGAGTCCATGTTGAACCTCCTCAGCCTGCGGAGGAAGAAGAGTCGCTGTCGAGCTTTTTTGGTGATGGTGGTGGTGTGAAGAGTCCATGTCAGGTCCTCAGTGATGTGGACATCGAGGAACCTGAAGCTGCTGACTCTCTCCACCTTAGTCCCATTGATGGCGATGGGGGCGTGTCCCTCTCTCTGCTGCTTCCTGTAATCCACATTCAGCTCCTTTGTTTTGCTGACGTTGAGATGGAGGTTGTTATCCTAGCACCAAGATGTCAGGTTTTCGACCGCCGCCGCCGCCTCGTTGCCGTCGGTGATCTGGCCGATGACTATCGTGTCGTCAGCAAATCAGATCCACATCCACAGCTGAAAGAGAAGGGCTTCACTAAAGCTCTGGCCATATTTGAGAAAACCCTGACAATGGTGTTCTTCTTTTGAGTTGGAGAGACCAGGTTAGTTTTCAAGGTCTCGATAATGGCATCGGCAACAGCCAGTTCCTGTGATATAATGGCTTCTAGCAGCGCCTCTGCAGAGCCGAACTGCTGTCTGAGGTCTCTGAACATATCCTTGGAAATCTTCTTTAACTTTTTACTGTCACAGCTGAAAAGATTGATATTTAACGCTTTATCTGTCAGTGCCCTTGCTGTCAGAAACCTTAGGATTCTATCTAAATCGATATCCCGCATTGACTCACGTGCCTCCTTAGCAGTATGAGTTAACAACCCAACGAACACAAGATAGATCAAGTTTTGGCACACTTTTTAATCTTTTGAGGTGTCAGAAGGCTCTGCAGAAAATGGCTGAAAGTCCTCTGTGATTTGCTGCTCAGGTGCAATATATATATCTTCGACAAGTGTGAAGTCGTCCTCTTCTTGGTCATGACTACTAGGATGCACTTTTTTTCCACAGCAGGATTTAAAAGGCTTTGCGATGGCGGTGGATAATGATGTGAACAACCTTAAAACAACACCCTTTTTTTGAGGTACTAATTCATGGACAATCAGGTAATGAGTTAAGGCCCGGAGAACAGCATCGTCAAATTCTGGATCACGTGAGGACATTGCAACCTGCACGAGCTTTGCACTGCCAAACACCTTCTTCAGGTCTTTGAAAATACACTTGCGTATATCTTCAAGGGCTAAAGAATTAGGGTTTAAAAAAGTTTCAGTGTCAAAATGTTCTCTCGTCATCCTGCTTGCGATGTTCTCTATAATATCACTGAAGTCTGTCAGGGTCAGCGTTGTCTTGGTCGCTTTAGTGATACTTGTTAGCAACCTGACAAGCAGCAGAGACACAAAATATTTGTAGTATGTGATACTTCTTAGCGTGTCGTCTGACCCAGTTTGGGCTATGAAGGAGACATCTGATGAGTAGGTATCATCACATAAAGGGCCGTTCAAGTCTTCATGTTGCTTCTGTGTATCTGTCTTGGCATTACTCTCCTCTGGTGATTTCTGTATGTTTTCAAATAGATAAGAACCAGCATGCAGGGAGGTGCGTGGTTTCACAGCACTCTCTGAAATGCTGCTATCACTGATGGATGATGTGTCCATGTAATGAGTTGGTTTCTGAAAATAAATGACCTCAATGTCGTCGTCTTCATCACTTTCATCAGCGCTATGCATCTCATTAAGTTGTTTTGCATCACCACACTGCAGGGATGAGCTCTTTTCTAGCATGGTATCCTCAAGAGCAACACCAGCATTGCATCTATGAAACAAGTCAACAGCTAACCCAGAGACCTCCATGGTAATTGCAGGCTTAACAACTGGACTCAAGTGAATACAAGATATTTCTCACAACAGCTATAAGTTCCAGAGAGCAAGCTGCCACGAAATGATGACGTCATTGCGACGTGTTCCAAACTTCAGAGCACTTTCAAAATGACCTAGGCAAGTTCCATTCCATGTTTTTTTTTAAATAGTTGATGCCTCGTGTGCGTTCTACGTCACGTCGGGGGAACGTGCGTAACTTTGCTAACATCATGCCGGTTTTTTTGACGCAACGGCACGGATAACATTATGAATAATAAATTAATCAGGAAACGAAAATATGTTATTACATGATGTTTACTCCAATTCGTTTATTTGGCACCAACTAGTTTTTATTTTACTTAAAAAAACACGAAATGTTTTTATTTTATGATTCATACCTACATTATACGAATCTACCCAACGTAGGCCATCTAAAAGTACAATTTCATTGTCCAAAAACCACATTAAAATACTCTTATATGTAACAAAGTGACACATAACAGAGACTGGTTAAATAAAGAAGTATGATTTTATTTGCTCTAGTAAATTAATATGAATATATTTGTATCCATGGCCCACTGTGTGTCAGGTGCGCATGCGCATAAGGACTCGGCTGGCTTTAAGCAGAAATTATGGCCGTTGCGATGCAGACGGAGGATTTTCCTTACTTACCTTCGGGGCTGGCTGAGGGTAAGTCCTGCTTCTTTACTAATCTAACGTTTCTCTTGCAAACAAACACATCTAAGACAGTGTAAGTGCCCGGTGTCACAGGTGCTGCTAATCAAGCTCAAGATGCCAGTGTTGCTGTTAGCTTCCTGCGAGCTAACTTTAGCATGCATTGCACTGTGAGCGGTGCTGGTTTGCTAATATCTGTTAAGCTAAGCTAACTGTTGCAGCTCCAAGGTCGATGAGAGCATGTCTGCATCCTATGTAGCTTCGGGCTGATTGGAAATAAAAGCCTCTGCCTGTACACCAGAGGAGACTGAGATGGGCTTCTTTAGGCTTGAGTCAGCAGCACGCATGCATCATTTAAACCGATCTGCGTTACACAACACAACTCACAAAAGTCAGGTTAAAATCGGGTCTTGTTTGTATACAGAGCGTCAGGAACACAACACACATGGTCGTCTTTTTGACTGTACAGCATTGTTGCTCATCTTTGAATGAGTTTTCTGAATTAAATCTTATAAGGCAAATGCGTCAAATAGCTTTTATATTTGGCTGAACCACTGTTGCTAAATGCATTCACTGCAAATCCTCCGTTTGCATTTTCTATTTCAGTCCCACTCCACTACTGAAGCATTCAGATCATTTGCTTTACTTGTAGTACTTATATCACACCATGGAAGAAGACTGTCCAAGTGTCCCACATTAAACATGTTTCTTCCGTTTTAGTATGTTCAGGGAAATGTACTTTAAGTAGTATTTAATACAGGGAAATGTCTCCTGTGACTAGTTTGCTGTTAACTATTACACTATATCACTCGTGTATTAATGCAAAAGGGTTGAACTATTAACTATAAAAGGAAAGCAGCAAATCTTGACATTTGTGAAGCCTGAGGATTACATTAATTAGATTAGATATACTTAATTGATCTCATTGTTTTGTTAACATGGCATCAGTTAAAAAATGTATAATACATTTCAAATTAACATAAACATTAAATGTACCTTATAATGCAGCAACACACACATTTAGTCTGAAGGGCAAAATACACATGATGCAAGAAATGTCCTATTATTATACGTCTTATATATCTCCAGTATTACATTCCTCTGTAGTTTCAGCCCAGAACAATGACGTGACCTCAGATCATTTGAAACGGTATTACTAACCAGGCAGGAAGCCTATGTGAAGAAAAGGGAGATTTTTGTAAAAAGAAAAACTCAAAATAACCTTCAGGGGATCTCCTTGCTGTTGGAGGGTGACACTAATGAGCCTTCTTGATAAAGGAAATGTTGTTTGAACTTTTTGTCACAGTGTGTTATAATTACATGTTCCCAGAAGAAGTGACCTAGTTTTAAAATCAACTCTTTCTCTCTTCTCTCCTTCACTGCAGTAAATAAGATGATAAAGGAGCACGGTGACCTGTTTTCTGACTCTCAGTGTAAAATCTGCAGCGCTGTCCTCAATTCTGAGTCCCAGAAGTTGACTCACTATCAGGTCAGTCTGCTGCAACCTCTCTCCCAAGTTATGGGACTCTACTTACTTTGAACGGTGCTGCTTTTCTCAGTGATATGGGGGAAAGCTGTATAATTCCCCCAAAATGTTTCCCATTTGTATAAAAGCAAGAAGGCATTATTATTTAATCTAATGCACTTTACATCACTTGAACTAGTTTTATTTTTCCAGCTGTAATGAAGCTGTGTTTATGAAAGAATACAAAATGTTTCTTCCACTCCTTCCCAAAGTCCTTTTTTAAAAGCAGCACACCAATCATTTCAACCAATCAGGTAAATGTGTTAAGGTTTTATCTTTTGTCTTTTCAGAGCAAGAAACATGCCAACAAAGTGCGCCGTTATCTTTCCATCCAAAACGATAAGGAGCCTGCGCTGAAAATATTCAAGTCGTCAGCATCTGACAGTGTGAGTAAAACAGCTAAATAGACCACTCAGTACTTTATAGCGTATTTTTGATCTTCAGCGAACAGAGCATTTGGATTTCCCTGGAGATTTTGCATCACATTTGGCTCATTGCCGGCACACTCTTTCTCTCTGCCTGCAGTTGACTGCCAGTTAGTGCTGTCATGTTTAAAATATCAAGTTAAGCAACACGTCATTCATTTAAAAACAACCCACATAGCAACATATCCCTAAATAAACTGTGGCGGTCATCACACTTGATTTCACTAGCTGTTCATTTCTATGAGGAACGAGTCCGGGATGCATTCACTGCCTTGTTTGCTTTAGGCTTCGTCCAATCAGATTGAATTTGTATTTGCAGCAGAGCAAAAGAGACATTTCTTTGCAGTGCATGTAGCAGGGCGTCTGCGGGGTCTTAAAAAGTATTAAAAGTTGATAAATCAATTTAAGGAAAATGAAGGCTATTAAACAGCATTTTCCAAGGTATTACATTGTGTAGCTTGTTTTCAATAAGTATATAAATGGTCCAAAGAGGTTGTATTCTACAGTGTGCCTGAATGTAATCATTGCGTAGGTGTGTAGTGTGATTCTGTGTAGTTTATTGATGGCATCCCGTTGGGTTTGACGTCATCTGAACAGGACATCGCACGCTCACTGCTTGATAGCACGAAGCTCCGTTTACGCCGGTTGCTAAACAACATCGTTATGGGGAAATGCAAGTTTGCGGCCAAATGGTTGGAAGATAAGGAGGAAGGACAATCCATACTGTATATAGTCAATGTGAGGTGAAGTGTGTCGCCAAGGTAACCGGTTTAAACTCCAAGTGGCGATGAGGTCTTAAAATGTATGGAAAGGGTCTTAAAAAAGGTTTTAAAAGGAATTACATTTGACTTCAGGGTTCCTGCATATACCCTGAAGTAGGGACAGCAAGTGGTTTTAATAAAAGCTTAATTAATTCTAAAAGTAACATATAAATGTATTTACTTACGTCATCTTTTATTTTAATACTTGCACTTACCTTTTTTGTTCTTGGAACGTGTAATTATTATTTGATATAAATATTTATTATTGTGTGCTTGCTACTTTACTAAATACTAGGGATGTAACGATATATCGAATATCGCGATATCGCGGTAAATAAATGTCTCAATACCGTCGTGAGACTGACAAAATCTACCGCGATTTTTTTAAAATAATGAGATCATCGATCTCTTTTTCAAGGGAGACCTGTCCAACATGGCAGCAAGTAGGTTACAACATGAACATAAAACAACAGATAACACAAAAAGACATCGTATTTACAGGGCTACATGTACAGACCTAGAGACATTGACAAGTACCAACAGTATATTTATATCCCTGTCAATAAGCCTCACCTTCTTGGCAACAACTGTATTGTTTTTGAAGTGGTGGAGAGAGAATGCACAGTTTGACCCACTGCTGTCACTCATGGCCAAAGCATATCTCTGTCCCAGCAACATCAGTACCAAGCAAGAGAGTTTTTCCCACAGCAGGGGATTTTGCAAACGCCCAAACATCCCAGCTTCTACCTGGAAATGTGGACATGCTCATATTCCTGAAAGATAACCTTGATGATGCTGAGTGAGTGAGTTAGAGTTGAGTTACTTGATTTATTCTATTGCCGGGTCTGATTATTATATTGTGACACTTTCAAATACTACTATCTACTAAAATGCTGTTCAAATCAGATTTATTATTTAATAAAGAAAAATAATCAAGTAAAAAAAAAAATCACATTTTTTTCCCTTTTTATTTTTCAATATCGCGATAAATATCGTACCGTGGACTTTTTATCGCGATATTATCATACCATGAGTTGTTGGTATCGTTACATCCCTACTAAATACAGTTTTATTTTGTATTGTCTCCTTGTTGTAACACTGTACATTTCCCCTCTGAGGGTCTAATAAAGGGATTCTGATTCTGAAAAGATACATTTACATAAATAAATCTAACTGAGGCTGTTGAGGGTGATTATTAAATGTATTTTAACTTAAATATACATTACTGTAAAGATAAACGTTGCATCCCATACCTGCCTCTCACAGTTTATACGAATATTATTGTATTTAAATATAATTACAATAAACAGTTAATTCCACAGTTTATCATTTTACATTCTGTTTTAACATGTTTACTTTAACATAGTCAAAGTGTCTCTTCGACTATTCTTTTGCACGTTTTTATTTGTTTTGTATTTATTTTTCTTCTTGCGTTCCTTAACTTGTTTTTATCTCCGTGTGTTGCACTCTTAAGGCCCGGACACACCAAGCCGATTTTGGGCGTCAGGCCGACGATGAGCGTCGACACGCCCTACTCAGATTGGTGTGTCCCGCACCGTCGTGTCTTTTTGGCCGTGCCGACACCTTTGCGGCCGATTCAACATGTTGAATCGGTGGGCTGTCGGCCAAAGGCTGTCGGCAAAATAAATCCCTCTGATTGGCTGTTCAGCTAGCGAATCAGTGCATGAGAAGTGAAACGGAAGTGAGGGACCCAAACACACTATTAAGAAGGCAAATCTGAGATGTCATTTAACTCCAGCTCTCGACTCAGGTTCGGGAAAGCCCCGTGAGCTTCTCGCTGTAGAGTGGAAATGGAACGCACGCTATTTGTTGTTTGTTTATATCACGCAGTCTGTTCTTCTTCTCTGTGTATCACACAGTCTGTCTTCCGGTTGTTGCCTCTTTTGAATGACGAATACCCACTACCACCGCCTGCTGGTAAGGAGAGTTATTGCCACTCACGCATGCGCAGTTCGTACGTGCATCTTGGCCGTCGGCTGAAGTCTTTGCGGTTTGTTCCAGTGCGACACATGGCCAAGACGCAGGAGACGTGAGGCGACACAACAGTCGGGGTCCGTCTGTGTCAGTTCTTTGGTGTCAGCTTGGTGTGTCCGGGCCTTTTAGAGGAGCCTTGACATTAATATACTCACTGTAGCTATTGTGAATATGCCAATTCAACCTTTTGAATCTTTGATTAAAAGCGTTTTCCCCCAGAAGCCGTTTTGATTTAAGATTATTTATCACACGACAGATGTTGGGATGATTCCACATTCATTTAACGGGACTTCTTGAAGCCATTAATGATTTCTATTGCTGTGTGTCTTTGTCAGCAGGAATGTAACAATGGAGACACAGAGCGATCGAAGGTGTGTCACGTGTGTAACATGACCTTCTCCTCTCCGGTGGAGGCCGAGTCGCACTACAACGGCAAACTCCACACCAAGAACCTGAGGCTGAAAACCATCGGCCCCCGGCACCCAGGTATTTACGCTTATTTGTTTTATTTTATTCATAACATCCAGCTCTTTACCTTTCCACCTGAAATGTTGTTCGCTGTTCTGTGTAAACCCTCGAGTAGCAGATGGTGAATTCACCAGATCTTTACAATTATGTTCCTCGACAAACCTGATATTGTCATTATACAAAATGATACAACAGGATTTTGGAGTACATCCTAATCGTGCTCATTAACGCTACTAAAAAAGGCTTGTTGTTCTCTCAGAAACCCTAAATGTGTTTGTCTACTACTTCTTATAATATCAACAGACTAGGTTGCTGTCATTTTGAGAGACGGGACAGTGTTAATAACTGGAGAGATGAGGACTAAGATAAAAAGCATATTTTTATCCTCTTATCTCTTTACCTTTCATTTCCTTTTTCTAGTATGGCCTTTATCCTATCACCAATATACATTTTCTAAAGACGCTATAGAAAGCATAATAATAAATAATACACTTTATTTATATAGCACCTTTCATGTAGTGTTCATTTCGTTGACTAAAACTATGACGAAATATGTTCGTCAACGACCTTTTTTTCCATGACGAAAACGAGACGATGACGAGACGGCACCGACGGCAGTAAACAATAACTGTAACGAAATCATCATGCAATATCGTTGACGAAAAGTGACGAGACGAAAATGTAGTTTGCTAAATAAAAACTATGCCGAAATCTCTCTTTACTTTCGTTGACGAAAAATGAGGAGACGAAATATTATCAAAGATAACGTTACATTTCTGATAGTCAGTTTTTCTCCCAGCAGTTCCATTTCCGGTGCTGCGCTGGGCAGCAGCTGTGTGTCTGTGCTGAGCGCGGCGGTAGATTTGAATTACACCGGGCAGCGGCACACTGTGAACTGTCAGGAAGACTCGGGTCTAACTCATGGTCTAACTAACCTTATTTAACAGAAAATGAAATGGCAACAGGGCTTGGGAGCAGTGGTCGCACTCGCGTTAACCGAATACCCCCCGTCAGCGCGAGTGATTGATAAATTGTGCATTCGACGGGTAATAATGGATTATGACGGAAATGTTACGATCCTGTCCGTCAAAATGACTGACAACGAAAAAGTCTAAAGCCACCACTGCTTGGGAGAAAGAAACGATGTGATATTTGGGTCCATTTTCGCTACAATGAGGCGGAGAAAAAAAGCGAATGCATTGTTTTATCAGAAGGGAAGCAATGTGGCCACAGCTGGTAACAACACCACACACCTGAGCAGATCCTCTCTGCAAAGCTTCTTAATCATTCAACCTGTGTTTTTCATCAAATAAGGACAAGATATAATCTTATTTATTTATATATACTAAAATGACAAATGATTGGTTTTGGCTAGACTAGTTTGACTGAAATGTTCTATATAATCTGATGACTAAAAAAGACTCAACAGTTTTCATTGACAAAAAGTAGACTAAAATAATTAGTTTTCTTTGACTAAAATAAGACTAAAATGCTCAGACTTTTAGTCGACTAAAACTTGACTAAATAAAAACAGGATGAAGGTGACTAAATATGACTAAAACTAAAAAGGACATTTAACACAGGACTAAGACTAAATTAAAAAAATAGCTGACGAAATTAACACTACTTTCATGCTTGACGCAGAGTTTGACAGAAAATGACAATAACAAATGAGGAACATAATTAAAAACAAGGTATAAACAAACAAATAGTTATATCACTGAACAATAAAACGTGGACTACTTTTTATACTACTAAAAAATTAAAATTGTCCCAAATTATAAGCAAAATTAAAAAGATACATGCAGAAATAAATCTCTGTTGATATTCAATTTTACCTCCTTTTTCCGCAGTCCCCTCCCAAACACCAGTAACAGTCCAGCCGAAGAAAAAGCCTGCAGAAGATCCGAGCAGTGTGCCGGCGACGGGCGTCAACAACAACAATAACAACAACAACGACCCAGACCGTTTCTGCTCCATCTGCCATGCGTGCTTCAACAACCCGCTCATGGCCCAGCAGCACTACGTCGGCAAGAAGCACCGGAAACAGATGACCAAGCTGAAGCTGATGGAGACGTACGGACCCTCCACCGCACCAGGTGAGGAGAGAGTCTCAGGAGTTCATGGAGTTGTGTTTGCGGAGGGGAAATCAGTCAAAATGCATTCATTCTAGGGCTGCAATATATGGAAAAATAGCTAATTACGATAATGTTGATTGATATAGAGATTACCATATAGAAGGGATTGATAATTTCTGCCTTATTATTGTCCTTATCAGGGAAACATATATTGAAATGTTTTGTTCCACAATACTGCATTGAAAATATTAATTTAACACATATTTAGCTTCCTGCTATTTGACTATTGCACTAGTCCATTTTGCTAGTTTGCAGGTTTCGCCCCATATGTGTTGTGTTGCAAATGAAGTTCTTACTAATAACTTTTATGTAGATTTAAGACGGGAGTAGTTAGTTGTGCTCATGTTTACTACTCAGGGTTCTTACGGTCATTAAAAACCTGGAAAAGTCATGGAAATTCAAAATGCTAATTCGAGGCCCTGGAAAACAATCTTTTTCCTGAAGTTGCATCAAATATATTTTATCTAATCGCCAAAATAGTAATACTATAATGATAATAAATACTGTATAGTAATGAAAGGTAAAATGGCATTTAACTGACGTGGTATTTTGCTGCTGAGAGATTTTAGTAGAAGCTAGTAAGCCTATTTGATTTGTTTTAGATAGGCAGAACATGTTTCATATCCAGACCTTATTTTCCTGTTCCATGTTAAAATAAACCATTTTCAGTGGCACCGCTGAGAGAGAGTCATATGTTTGGTCATGGAAAATTAGGTAAAGGTCATGGAGAAGTCATTGAAAATCATTGGTGAAAAAGTGTATGAACCCTGAATACTGCATTTAGAGCACATGTGTCAAACTCAAGGCCCGGGGGCCAAATCAGGCCCTCGTGGATTTACTTTCGGCCCGCAGGATAATTTCTAATTACTATTAGATCTGGCCCGCCGGTATATTGCACGCACACCTTCACTCCATCCTGAGGGTTTCCTCAGCTCAGAGCCTGAACCCAAACATTGATGACCTTGCACCCAAGATGAGATGCCAAGTATCTGAACTAGCATCACAGAGCAGAACACTGAGTTTAATGGATGTTTCCTTCTGCACTTTCTCTCTCACGACAGCAGGGCATGTTTGGTTTTCTCTTTGAGGGAAATTGTTTTGTTGAAGCTGTTGTTGGCCTGTGGAAAAATGTAATCATAAGAAATGAAGCTGCAGATAGAGCCAGAAGAAATTAATGCAGCTGATTATTTAATGTTTAATGTTGTTTTTATTGGCAATAATTTAAGCTTTGTTAGTTCCAGGTTTAATATGTGCAATAAGTTCATTTTAATAAGTTTTGCAATAAACATTGAACCAGTCCGGCGCTCCACTAGTACCCATTTTTTTATTTTGGCCCACTGTGTGTATTTCCCTGATCTAGAGTAATACATCCCTAATATGTGTGATGTCTCCTGTCTGCCATCAGGAGTTATATATGGCGAGCGTATGAGGAGAAATAGAATAATAGATTTAACTAGTCGAAATTAAACACAGTCTATATTTTACTTGTGTGGGTATATAGATAATTTATTGAATACTGCTGTTGTGTGAGAGATATTGTGAATGGGGGAAATTAAATGTGACTTTGAATCATTCTGAAAACGATCTTCTGTGTGTCCACAGCTTCCACGCTAAAGGGCTACCCGTGCACCGTGTGCAGCATCGAACTGAACTCTGTGGCGCAGTACCAGTCTCACATCAGTGGAGCCAAACATAACAACCAGTAAGTATACACTCCTTTTAGTCGTTAAATACAATACAAGGGGGCTTTATTGGCACGACCACATTTTAAACATAGTATTGCCAAAGCATTCTGCACACGGCGTTATAACGGAACAAAAATAAATAGCTTCTGCCTGATAATCACATTGAATTGGCTTTTTGTTTTATTTCTCAGCTGGACGTTGTGCTTATGTGTGTAAAAGACAAGGGTTATGGGGTTTGATTTTCACTCAAAAGGAAAGTGTTTACTGAGGTGATAAATCAATTGGGAAGTAGGGTGCCTTTCTCATAGACCTTTTACAATGAGACTTGTTTTTGAAACCAGTTGTCAATATTGAAAATAATTCAAGTGACCTGAGAATAACCTTATAATCGTATTGTTTTCTTTTAACAGAGTGAAGAAGTCAGGCGTGAACCCTGCAGAGAACCAAGAGCCAGCAGAACCATCGTTTGACGGCGACGTCCAGTACAACGACGGAGAGAACCCGTTCAACGCGTTTGCCGTGGAGGACACCCAGTACACTCCGGAGGACACGGAGTACTCAGAGGAGTGCCAGTTCACTTGAGTTCGGCTGGTAGAGACGGCAGAGGACTCAGTCAGGACTTGATGACACACAACAACCAGCCCCTTTAACACATTAACATCAACCTCTATGGACTCTCTTCCAGATTCTCATCTCGGTAGGTTTTTACCCAGGCCCTGGAAAATGGTACTTTATCATTTTGGGTTCTTCTCTAATCAAACAAAGCTTTTGATGTGTGGACAGGTGAGAGGGTGGTGAGCAGCTAAACCCTTCAGCATGTGATCGTCGGTCCGGCAGCAGGCATTTGTACCCAGAACCTCGATAAGGATTGTCTTCTTCTGTACACTAGGGCTTGTATCCTGTGCAACTTCAGAAATACATGTTTCTTTCTACAGTTATCCTTATTGATTTAAAAAAACATGTTTTCAAGTGTAAAAAATGTATATCAAGAAACTACAGGAACAAAACACACTCTTAAAACATACAATATTGCGATTTAAATGACTTAATATTGTAAGAAAATGAAACTGAAAGTCTTTCAATTCCACTTCATGATACTCTGTGACAAAGAGGATAAAACAAATAAATTTGAAGGGTGAAACCCAGCCTTAGTGAACATATTATGGATGTCCCGATCGAATTGATTATTAAAGATTGGATATTTTCAGTACTTATATTTACTTAAATGTTGATTGAATGATATAATTATAATCTGACACTATAAAATACCATTTGTAGACTTCTACTGTAGGCCATTTTCTCAAAACTGATATTATTTAAATGAAAGTATAACAGGAGACTTGAAATGGAAATGATTGGATTGTTATTGGCTTTTCTCCCGCCAATATCCATTAGTTTTAAATAACAAGTAGGAATGAATTTATAGGATCAGTTTGGGAGATCTGTTATGAGGAAAGTCCTTACTAACATTTAACCAGTACTAACAACGAGTAGCAGAGCCACATGTAAGCATTGATTCAAAGCTGCGTACCACTTCCTGTTTGTTAATCTCCTTTTCTTCTGAATAGAGTTGGTTTGCATCTCCAGTGAATGTATTTATTCAAACACCTTCCTCCTCTGCTCACTGTAAGTTTGATTATTCCTGAAGCAGGTTTTGAAGACATTGGAAAAGTGAAAGTATATTCAAACGTTTGCACGGCACGATGAGTCACTGTAGCCAGTCGAGATACTTGTTAAAAACTGATATTTGTTGAGCTGTATTTTGTTTATTTTGAGGTTCAAATCCAAAATAAGTTCTCGTTGACATGTTGCTGCCTGTTCTGTGTAAACCATCGAGTACCAGATTGTAAATTCACCAGATTTTCTTTTTCTTTTTATGGACAAAGTTGGTATTTCCGCCCAAAACGTCCGTATTGTTTACCTGTTCTTGTTGGCTGCGTTTTTACAGGAAACAGACAAACTTCTCAACTTGATTAAGATATATTTTGATTTCCCTGTCATGCGTTGAATACCTTGCTTAACAAAGTATTTTTTTATCCTACAGGACACTATGAATAATATCATGAGAATGTAAATGTGTATAGGAAGGTCATCATTAATGCTGCTAAAAGGCTTGTGTTTCACTCCTCGGTGTTTTCCTCTACTGCTTCAAACCTACCAGTACAAGAATGTACGCCTTTTGTAGAGGTTGATGTCATTTTATAAAGTTTTCGTTTAAAGGAGTAGAGAAATTAAAGGGACTTTGTTGAAAAGCATGAATTAACCCCCTTTTTAAAATGCAGTGGATCTCTGAAAGCTGTGAGCTCAAATATATAAACCTTTTTGTACCGTTGGTTTACTGAAGCGTGAAAGACTTTTAGATACTTTCCGATGGGCTCTGTAATTACTGTCAATAGCAGAGGTTACAATATTTACTTCAGATTTTCAAGAGTGATGTCAAAATAGGAAGTGATGTCAAAATAGGAATGCAATTTGTTCTCCTCGGATGATCGGTTGAATATTTTAGTATTGAATGTCTTGGAGAGAAATCTGTTTGGATGTATTTTCTTCGGGTCATGCATACTGTATAGTAGCTACATGGTGTTTAAAAGAAAATTGGCCTTTTTCTGTTTTCCCGTCATTGTTTGTGTTGTTAAATGTTTTGTGGTCAAACATTTGATTTCAATATCAGTTGTGTATAACTGAGGCGACAAATGCAGCAAAGATGTGCATAAAGTAAAGAAATGTTTTAAGAGACTTGGTTCAATTTGTTCTTTATATTCTCCTTTATATAACATTTAAGAAATACCCTTTTGTATATTGGATATATGAAAGTAGTATCATACCTCAAAAATAATGAACCCTTTTTTCTCTATACATTTCTTGAGACATACTGAAAATAGAAAAAGGCTCAGTGGATTACAAAAACGATATCTGCTCCAACATCCTCAATATTTTTCTGTGCTAGCATCTGTATTTCCTCAAGGATAAGAAGTTGTTTATTCGACTGTTGCTATTTCAATCAGGAGAGACTTCATTATTTGCTTAAAGAAAATGTATTGAAACATCGCCATATTATATAAACGTTAATGGTCTTTGGCGATTAGACCCCAATCCTGATACATCTTAAGTGGGAAGTGCAGCCGTGAGCATAATAGGAAAAAGCCCCGGGATCTAGACACTGGTGGTGATGATAAATATTTGGATTGATGATGAAGAGGATGCTGACGATCTAGATGGATGTGGAAGTGGGATGAAGATCTGGATTGATGGCAGCATAAACACCTGACATCACAGCTATATGCAGCTCAGTGATTGGAGGTTTACCCAGTCTTCCTGCGTGAACCAAACAAAGCTTTAGCACTGAGAAGAGAAGGAACAGTTCTCATAATGAACACTAAGTACTTCTCAGGCCACATGGGGGTGCACTTGCTCTTTTAGTGCCGGATCAGCTCGAGTTAAAATCTTTTTCAGGCTGAAGAAACCCTGACCTTTTATGCCCAGGCACCAATGACTCAGGAGACAGGATATCACGCCACAAGGTGAAGACATCATACAATACTGTGATACTAAGGCTTGTAGGTGATCTAATCTAAAACTTGTTGCATGTGTGTTTACAGCCGCAGCATGCCATATACATATCTAATTATTGTTATTAACTCCCTTATTATTTGTTAAGAGCAATGGTGTAAAGTAGCTTAATGCATTTACTCAAGTACTGTACACTTTTGAGGTACTTTTACTTTACTTGAGTAGAAAAAAGCAGAATGGTTGCACTTTGTTTACCTTATTACTTTCCACCACTCATACATATTCTTAAGGTAAGAACAGAAATGTCCCTCTCTGGGACATATGGGGTTGAGGTATATGAGTGCGCAGTACTGTGCAGTGTTTGAGCGCGCAGGGTGACATCAGGGCCGTCTGAGAGCCAGACAAGTCAATTTGTTTTGGTCCCCTGCAGTCTGAATGGGCTCCACCGTTATTGTAATTACATTAAAATAGCCATGTCCGTTTTACAATCAGTTTACTGTCTCCACTGAAGGATACACCTGAATAAATTGTCTTTTATTCTCCGTAAAAATGCTTTGGTTGCCAGGTGTTTGTGAGACTCGTAAACTGTCTCTATGTTTCCTCTTTGTCTGTATGCTAATTTGTAATGATATGCATTATAAATGCAGATGTGATATCCAGGTGTTCTTTTCTTTCTGCTTTGCTTAAGCTCAGAGTGAAGAAAAAGGACGCGATGGATCAACAGCTGGTGAAAGCATCAGTGTGATTCAAATGCTTGTTGTTGAATTGTCTCCTATTCAGTTATTGAGTTGGTGACTCACAGCGTCAGTCGTTGATTTAATTAGCGATACAAAACAACGACTACATTAACTTAAGTAGTGTACTTATACACACAATGTAAATATATGTCCTTTTCTTTTCATGCTACTCCAGTTCATCTCAGAGTGAAATATTGTACTTTTTATTGCATCTATTTGACCACTTAAGTAAACTTGAAATATTTTTGCACACGAAAGAGTTTAAAATATATGTTTTGTTGTGAATTACAACCAAACTGTATTTAGTATAGCTGAAAAGATTAGTCGATTAATAACCATTGGTTTTATTTGATAGTAAAACGTACCTGAATACTTCCTTTACCGCTGGGCCGTTTGAGTGCGGATAATTCCTCTTAAATAATCCAGTAAGAAGTAACTTGTTAGATATCTTGTTGCTGCAGGTCATGGGGAGGAATCACAGTACAGTCTAGGACTTTCTTTTTCTCTGGTATCTTGTTCCATTTCCTGTACTATATAGCTTATGTTCAAAGGATCAAAAGAAAAAGCAATCCCATGAAGTTGCTGAAGGTTTTACGGCGTCTGATCTTCGTCTCATCTGTCTGCAGGAAAAGGTTTCACATCTGAAATCTAAAAGAAAACATCATAGCTGTGGTTAATCACACAGAACAAAACACCCAGGAAGGAGAAGGTCGAGACATAAACCTTCAATGTAACTGAAGATACTTTAAACAACAGAAAAGCTGAGAGGCACTTTGGACTTTAGGTAGAAGCAGATCATTTGGTTTAATAACATTATCTAATTTCCCCCAAAGAGATGATTAAACTTTCATTTAATCAACCAGTTTAGTTGTTACACCCCCGCAGCTCACAGAGTCTACACTTAGATCCAGTGACGTGCGGTGAGGTTCATGGCTGGTGAGGCACTGACTCTTTCAGAGTCAGATTTACAAATATTATATTCTGACCTTAATCGAAATATTCTGTTATTTTCAAAAGCTTTTTTGGTCTGATGTTTCGATTCATTTTAAACAGACCGTTCAACAAAAGGATACCCACAATCTAAATATTGGATTGTTCTTTCTTAGTAAGAACCAATTTTCATTACCAATGTGGTCTTACCTTGACTTGAAGATGAAGTCCATGCTATCCTTCTGGACAAGGACAACAATCTCTATTACTTTTTTGTAAAAGTCCTCCTTATCTTCCTCTAGTTTCAAAAGTCTAGTTTGTTGTTTGCGTCTGGTCTACCGTCACTGCGTAGAATAACAGTAGCAACAAGAACCTGTGGGCTCACGTGCGCCCCCTTCAGTGCGGCAGAGGTTATGGCTGCCTCCCCCGGTGCTTTTTTCATTGCCGTTGTACGGCGAGCCTAAATATCATATACGTGAAATAAGTTATTTAGAGACTATGGATGGCGAGGATAAATGTAATAAAGGGATCTACAAACATTACATTGGTGACATACAGTGAGATGGCGCAGGCATGCGCTTAGTGCCCGCTTTCCAGCCAGTTTCTGTGAGGTGACGCATTTTGAGGTGAGGCAGAGCTCATCTGTGCCTCACCTCACCACACAGTAACTGGCTTGAGCGCGCTCACAAAATAAGTGCCGCGCTAAATTAGTGCCCGCGCTCCAGCAAGTTACTGTGGGCTTACGTGAGGCAGAGCTCGTCCCTGCCTCACTTCTCATCGCTACCCGTAGTTGTAGCGGAGCTCGGCAAATGTGCTGATTTTGACTATAAAAAGCGATTGGAATCATACATAAATCACATTTACAACACAGATCAGTGGAGACATTTTATTATTATTACTATTTAGTTTTTCTTTAGTTGTTTTTCCGTTACATTGTAGTATGGCCAGTCTATGAGTATGACAGGTGAGGCTCTGCCTCCCCTGCCTCCCCTGACTGCACGTCGCTGCTTAGATCGAATGAGAAACATGCCCGTCTCTCTGTGAGTTTGCCACCAGCTGAGGTTTGTTTGTATGATGTGGTGAGGAAAGGAAAGTCATCTGCTGGATGTTCTTCTTAAATATCTCTAGAACCTTATTCAGATAACAATTATTATCAATGCTGGTTTGGTTTGATTCTGGCAGTGGTTGAAGAAGTAATGAGATATTTCATTTACTATTCTACAAGTCAAAATGTTATTCAGGATAAAGTACAGCAGCATATCCATCAAAGTATACATACAGTCTCAAAACTCATCAAATCGTGCATAATGGGACATTTTAAGAACAATATAAATCATACTGGGCTCTAGCTAGGGATTCATTCATGTAAACACCATTTTAATTTTGCAGCTGGTAAATTAAAGAGTAAGTAATGGAGTGAAAAGTACAATACTTGCTGCTAAAATGTAGTGTAGTGAAAGTGAAAAGTATAGCATAACATGGAAATTCTTAAGTACCTTAAACATGTATTTAAGTACTTGAGTAAATGTACTTAGTTACTTTCCATCACTTGGTTATTTTGCCTCCTACGTTTTGTGGGAAGTGTTTCTCTGTGTTGTTGGTAAAATGACAGATTCAAGCAGCTCGAATCATCAACAAAAAGACGGAGAAGGATCAAAACAATAACGACGGCTGGACATAGAGAGACAGATATGGACAGCGCAGAGTTTTATTGAGACTTTTAAATCTGTGACAGCTTTTCGAGAGATCATTGTCTTGAAATGGAGACATCCGGAGGCCAAGGCATCTTCCTCCTCCTCTTCCTCCTTTTCCTCCATCTAGACCCCCCACCTTCTCACTTGGAGGCACAGGTGGCTGAGCTGCACACTGCAAAAAATAACAACAGAATTACTGAGCACATCTGGTGTTACCCAACACTCATGAACTTAACATGGTAACAATTTCTTGTTATTTGTTTAGGTAGTTGATAATAAGTAGCCCATCATTTGTATAAATAGCCGTTTATACACTTATGAGACATTTCAAAAGATGCACAAATAAATCCAGGTGTCATTCTCAGTAGCAAAACCTACAGACATGTTTAGCTCGAGTGCTTTGGTGTATTTCTCCTCACTGTTTTGGTACAGCCACAGGCAGCCATGTTTGGGAGAGAGTCCAGGATGCTCAACATTTCAAAGTGTGTTGGACTTCATCTGGGCGGGAAAAGTTGACCTTTTTCTGTCAAATAAACCAGTGAGTCCTCATCCTTGAGGCTTTCTCTAAAAAAGGGCCTGACGTTTGAAATATTTCAACTTTCTGATGCGGAGGGGGGGATGTCTACAGAACTAGCCGTTTTTTTAACCTTCAGTTTGTAGGGCGAAGTAATGGGTCTGTTATGGCTTGTACTGTTTCCAAATGACTCAAACAAAAATAATTAAAATTGCTAGAATTGAAAACTTAAATCATGTTCAGTCAGACAACTCACGTGTTCTTAATATGTTTATTAGAGCAGCATATAGTTGAGTTTGGCGTCTAGGTTCGGGCCTCATCACTCCACAGATGTACATAGAACATTGAGTG